TGCCTGTGCTGAAGTAAAATAAAGCTAAGAAAAAAGAAACAAACACCAAGGCTGATGTGTTGATTAGGTGACCACAGTGTAAGTAACAGTTGTGTTTGTCCTGTGCCACGTGTAGAGGATTCCTGGACATCTGTTCAGCCACGTTCAAATCAGGCGGTGGACTGGCGGTGCATTGCAAAGGTATGGTGGTCCTGCAGTAGAACATCCGGTGCTGAATGTACTATAGGCATAGCTGCATGTACTATAGGCATAGCTGCATGCTTCTTCTAGTAGATAGTGATTGTCGTGTAATTGTCTTTTTCTGTACTCTCTCTCTCCCTTTCTCTCTCTCTCTCTCTCTCTCTCTCTCTCTCTCTCTCTCTCCCTCTCTCTCTCTCTCCCTCTCTCTCTCTCTCTCTCCCTCTCTCTCTCTCTCTCTCTCTCTCACACACACACACACACACACACACACACACACACACACACACACACACACACACACACACACACACACACACACATACCTGTATTCTAATGCGCATGCTCGTTGTAAATAGACCAATCATTGTCTTGTCATGCAATGGACTCCTGCATGGCTTGCAGGCCGAACACCACACTTCTCATAGCATTGAGTACCAAGTACAGTGCTGCTTGCTCCATGAAATCCGATCGAGTGAGCCAAAGCCACAGTCCCAGTGTCAGGAGGTCCAGGGCTGCACTGCTCTCGGTGTGTACTTGACCCGCATAATCAGCTTTCATTGAGCAGGACTACACTCTTTTGAAGAAGCTGTAGTTTTAGTCTCAGTCACTACTTGTAATAAGTGTAATCAACTGAAGTAAGAGCACTGGCAATCCACTGATTAGCAGGTTACTTAATGGTTCATTTGATTGTTGAACTTTTTGACTCGTTTGATCTCGAAAGTTCAAATCTTCAGCAAGCACTGCTTGAGAATTGAGATAGGATCATTTACATGTTTATTTGATTGTAGAAACACTATACAGTACGCAGTATGCACTGAGCACATCCAGGATGTATGTTGATCCTGGAAAGCATGGTCTCTTGTCTTTTATGCAGCGTGGTGTGCTAACATGTCTCTTGTCTTTCACTGTGTGGTGTGCTAACATGTCGTTGTCATGCTCTCTGTAGCTGGACTGGGGCGTACAGGCACTCTGATTGCTTGCTACCTGATGAAAGAGTTCAAGATCACTGCACAGATGGCAATAGCCTGGCTTAGGTACGTAACTGTTACACTCAAAGTCTGAACACGAAAACTTGACGGGGAAATCTGAATCATGCAATACCAGCTGTTAGGGGCCATCCGTAAATATAGATATTTATTTAAAGGGGAAGTTAAGGCAAAAAATAAAATTTCACCAGTTGTAGTCTTCGGGGTGCTGAGTCGAATGGTCTTGGCCCGAGAAAGCTGAGACGCTCCCTTCCTACTTGAATACTTGAATCCCAATCGAACTCGCGCACTTCACCGAAACTGGGTGACTGCGCCCTACTAGATGGGGAGTTGTATGCAAAATGTCACTAAAAGCGCCATTTCGTTCTTATAAAAGCACGGATGACCGCGATTGGCCCATATGTTGTAGTCTTTTGGACGCTGAGTCGACTGGTTTTGGTCCGAAAAGGCTGCGATGCAGCGTTCCTCCTTTATTCCCAATCGAACATGGTTGAACAAGTGGTCACGTGCTCCTGGGTGCCCAAATCACCTGGTCACCACGCCAGCAGGCGACAACTTTCACACCAAGGTTCAACTCGAGTTCAACTCGAGTGACAGGACTGCACCCAAAAAAGGTCAAACAGGCTAGTAAGTTGTACCCTGCAGGCACGGTGACCAGCTGACTGGTGTACGCAGGAGCACGTGACCACTTGTTCAACCATGTTCGATTGGGAATAAAGGAGGAACGCTGCATCGCAGCCTTTTCGGACCAAAACCAGTCGCCTCAGCGTCCAAAAGACTACAACATATGGGCCAATCGCGGTCATCCGTGCTTTTATAAGAACGAAATGGCGCTTTTAGTGACATTTTGCGTACAAATCCCCATCTAGTAGGGCGCATTCACCCAGTTTCGGTGGAAGTGCGCGAGTTCGATTGGGATTCAAGTAGGAAGGGAGCGTCTCAGCTTTCTCGGACCACGACCATTCGACTCAGAACCCCGAAGACTACACCTGGTGAAATTTAAATTTTGCCTTAACTTCCCCTTTAAAAACGAAAACTAGTCGTTTAGGGGGGAGGGGGTTGAGCGCCTGTTCGTTTCTGGAAAAATATCGATGTACATTTTGCACGCGTGAGCATGTCCAGAAAAAAAGATCAAAAATATCGATACTATGTACCATTTGTACATGTTCGTTTCTCAGGGAGGAGGTTGAAGAGAAACGACTAGTTTTCGTTTCTAAATAAATATCGGTATTTACGGAAGCCCCCTTATGGGGAAACAGATGGAAAAAAAACTGACTGATGCTATGGGTGCCTTACAACGGCTGCGTGGCTTTTGGTTATTGGTGATACTCTGCAGTGCAGAACTGCAGATGCTGCAAAACTATGGTCACGGTTATTTATGTCTTCAACTGCGGTTCTAAAGCCTGGTGTGCACGTACTGTTTTGTTGTCGCAGAATCTGCCGTCCTGGCTCAGTTCTCGGTCCGCAGCAGCACTTCCTTGAAGGGTGAGCAATGCCAAACGAACTGTTCTCCTGTCTTGGGTTTCGTCGGTCTGCTCCTCCACTTGGAAGGAAGTGACTACGAACCCTTCTCATGTCCGAGTTTTGCCTGTTAAGGTTCTGCCTACTTATCCACTAGCGTTAGCTCCGAGTCCTACGCCTGGCACTGAACATAGTTCTGAGGTGTGTCATGATGCTGGTAACCTGGCTCAGGGTGGTATTGCCGCATGAGGTGATGTTCACGTAGCTCTATGACTGTTGTACTGCCTCTTGCCATTGGTTCCAAACCTAGCCCAACTTCTGGGCGACACGCATACTTCTCATGAGGTTAGTCACAAATGCCCATATTCACGTAAAACGCATGCGAGGGTGCACACGCGCACACATTGAGCAATTACAAGTGAGCAGCATACAATGCGTGTGGCTGTATGGAATGATGTTCATGATTGTATTGTTACTTCTCAGGTGTATGAAGGGAACAGCTATGGTGAGTCACACACATTGTGCAACGGCCAGTGGGATTTGCGCCATTATGTGCATGACAGTGTGAGACAATGCTGATGTGCTGCACCTGCACATGTCCAGTTAGTGGCGATGGTGATAGCTACATGTACTGGTCCAGTTCTGTGTGCTAATCTTGCCCACTGTCACTTCTTGCTGGTTGCTGGTTGCTGTAGGCTGGAGAGCTGGCTGTGGTCGTGTGAGCCAGACGAAGAGAGACCAGGTGAGAGGTTTTTTTTACGATGAAAGGAAATGTTGGCCTTGAACCTCTGCCACAGTACATACTAAATTGTGTGTGTGTGTGTGGCCACGACTTTTCAGATTGTACTCTGTCTACAGATTCTAGGGTACACTTCTGTCCTGCGAGTGCGAGTGAATAATAGTACTCTTGCTCTAAATCTATTAATTTAAAACTGAATTGTGCTGTGGAAATTCTATTTACAGACACGCCGAGCAAAGACATGAAGTCGATATCCGACCGTGTTGACACGATAGCGCTGACGGAGAACTGCGACGCACAGCTGCTGAGTGCGACAGGCGCTCTGGACGCCAAGCTGCCCACGCAACCATCGCCCATCAAGCACACCACGACGCCGCCGTTGAGGAACAAACGATCACGCGCCGGTGGCCGCACCACTGGCGCTCTCATCATCCCGGAGAGCTCCAGCGCCAGCGTGCGGGTTCCGGACCGCACGTCATCACATCCCTCACACACAGGCACACTCGTGTTTGACAGCCCAGGCAAGATATCAACGCCACCGCCTTCGCCACCGGACTCATGGTGTGCAACAAATGTTAGTTATTTTTTTAAATAATATATGGAAGTCCACTAAATTCCCGGATAGGCACGAGAAGTGGTGGCAGGGCTAGGCTGAATTATGGGTATTGTACTATGTACAGCTATTGGATAAGTCAAGCTCTCTTCAGCTTCTGCACTGAACTGTTCCAAGGTGTTCTAGTGGAGTGTTTCTTTTCTTTGGAGTGATATCACTTCATTTGTTGAAGCCGCATGTGTGTGTGTGTGTGTGTGTGTGTGTGTGTGCGCGTTTGTGTGCGCGTGCGCATGTGTGCATGTGTGTCTGTGTGTGTGCACGTGTGTGTGCATGTGTATGTATGTGTATGTGTGCATACGTGTGTGTTGCCTTGCTATGCAGTCTCTCTGTGTGACGGGTGGTGGGTTTGATATCTACCAACCAGATCTGGGCATCGGTCAGGTGAAAACACAGGGAGACTACCTGCGTGAGCAGAAGACAGCCATGCAGCGAACCGGCAATGTTGCTAGCAAGCGACGGCCAGCAGCACCAAGGTGAGGGTCAAAGTCAAGCTAGCCCATAGTCTATTCTGGCCGTAGGGGCAAGACGTGTTGCAGACCTCCTGGTTCTATGAACATAGGACTGTGGGCTGAAGCTAACATTAAGCCTCTTAAGGATGTCATGCAAGATGTATACTGGTAAAATGCAGCCTGATTTTTTAGCCAGATTTCTGTTTATAAGCTAGGTTGTCATCAAAGAGTTACTTCTGAATACGTTCTTGGGACGAGGAGCCTAGCCAAGTATTACCAAAAAGAGTAGCATCCTTGCTGGATTATAACTATTGTGCTGTTTCTGTGGTCGTGGTGTATGTCAGACAGATTAGCTATGACAATACACTACTACGACATGTATTGTTATTCCACAGTTCAACTAGGATTGTTTTTTTTTAATGAGCGGTGTTGTTTTCTTCATGCGTGTGTCATTTCGGTGCCAACTTTTACGGCGGTCAGTACAAAGCCCAGGGTTACGCAATCATCTCCGGACACGGTTCCAAGGTAAGTGAAGTACACTTGACGTGTGCGAGATTAAAACTCCATTACAACTTGCATCTCAAGATCTACTTTCGTCTAGCAAAATTTAAGTACACTTGACTGGACTTTGTGTGAGATTAAGACTCCATTACAACTTGTTCTCAAGATCTATTTTCGTCTAGCAAAATTTAAGTACACTTGACTGGACTTTGTGCGAGATTAAGACTCCGTTACAACTTGCTTCTCAAGATCTGTTTTCGTTTAGCAAAATTTTTAATGCTGGCATTCGCTTAAAAATCAACAGACATGAGTGGCACTCGCATGAAGGGGACTCGTTTTCGTTGAAGATAAAGTCTATGCGTAGCGTATGCTAACACCAGCACTATTCCTGCTCTATAACATTGTGATTGTGCGGCTAAAAGTCCCAGCGTGCAACACCTGCAAAAGAACTTGCAAATGAATCTGGCTTGCGCAGCCATTGTTCTTACTTCCATTAGATCTCGTGTCTTCAATCAATGATTGTCGACACCTTCGATGTTCTCGCTGTCCTCTTCCTCCCCCTCTTCCCAGACTACACTCGCAGCAGCCGCAGGACACGCACAAATCTCCGATGGAGTTGAGGACGTCACGTGGCATGAAGACACCGCCATGCCCCGGTCCTGGCAAACGAACGTGTGTGTTCCCAGAGCCGTCCTCCTGCAAGATGGCGAAAACCGCCATGGCCGAACCTCTAACGCACCAATGCAATGTGGGAGCACCGAAGCCAGGGTACGCATACAAACTTAGATCATCAGTAAGAGATAAGCTGGCCCCGATAAAGCCACCTCGTCAGTCACATATCTAGCTCGGCATTGCATTCTGTTCAGAACTTGAATTTCCGCATGTTGTACTACCATGCATAGTGTGACCAACCAAACCTTTCTGGGGACTGGTAATCTTGCTTCTCCTGCTTCACAATGAATGTGTCGGTGGATACGCACCATTCGTCTTGAGTGCAATTTGACCGCTGTATAATTTGTTAATGAATTTAAATCTGAATTGGACAATTGCCTTGTCGTCTTGATTTCACCTTATACCACCACCCCCTATCGAGCAAACCAAACCGTTCATGTTCAGAGATCACTATATTTCATGCAATGCATAACTCAAACCATGGTGGGATTGAGTCTCAGATTTCAGTAGAACCATGAATAAAGAACGATGAGAACTGCAAGAATAATGATGTCATCGGCGAAATAACTTCCAAAAAACTTCCCATTGCACTTTCCAGTTTTGTGGTGCTTTCTTACCCATTCCAAAACATTTCTTATCCCATTCTAGACTTTTCCCTTTTCCATTCATTCTATATACTCCATTTTTCTCCCTTCATAGACTAGTTAGAGGGGACCATTTCCCCTTCTTTTAGACCCCGCAATTCGAGGTCTCTCTTAGTTCCCCTCCCCACTTCGCCATTGGGCGAGATATTTCTTCCCCATTCTCTGCATATAGAGATCCTTATTTTTGTATGTACTTAGTTAAACTGCGCGAGAAGCAGAGAGAGCATCCATAAATAATTATGTGTGGAAATGTACCCCCCCCCTCCCCCTGTTTTAGGGGCAAGAACAGTAGGGTGAATGAAGCATCCAGACCGTACATATCTGGGGTAAAGCAGCCCCCCCCCCCCTCTCTCATAGGGGTCCACTATGCTGGATACATACAATGTCCTCTCCACACACCATCAAATTCACCAAATTCACTTTGGTTGTCACCTCAACATATCAGTGACCTAGCTGCATGTGTTGCACTAACAGCATAAGAAATAGCATGAGAAGCCAGTACCTCCTGGAGCAGGCCTACTGTAGCCTACGCAGCTAAAAATCTGAAAGTCCTGCATGTCCTGCAGCCACACGCACATCGTCAATTTCACGACTTGCACACAAATCCGGAATACAGAATGAACATGTCCTGTATTAGGAGAAGTCACGGGTTGGTGGTCCGAACAACCCAGCAAGGGAGTAAGGGGTGACAGGTACGGACGGGTTGTGAAAGACGTCAAAAACGATACGGTGTCACCCCGATCAGTAAAAATTAATATTTACTAGCCAGGCGTTCACTCCTAATCCGAGCTCCATATTCATTGGTGGCTGCCATGGCAACAGTCAGTACACTGAAGTGCACTAGTCTCACTGGGTGCGGGGATGAGCTGTAGCTTGCCTGATACCTGTCTGTGTGCATACACTATTATACACAAACATGTCGAAACAACCCACTTACCACCCAGGCCGGCTTGGACTGAACGCCGTGATTGGTCAAGACATACTCCACACATAGGTCGACAGCAGGGAATCGTGAAAGCTCCTGGTTGGCAGCACGGAGTCATAGTCCCTGGTTGGCAGCAAGGAGTCATAGTCCCTGGTTGGCAGCACGGTGTCGTAATCCCTGGATGGCAGCAGGGAGTCGTAATCCCTGGATGGCAGCAGGGAGTCGTAATCCCTGGTTGGCAGCAGGGAGTCGTAATCCCTGGTTGGCAGCAGGGCCAGGGAGTTGTAAGCCCTGGTTGGCAGCAGAGAGTCATAACCTGGTTGGTAGCAGGGAGTCATAATCCCTGGTTGGCAGCAGGGCCAGGGAGTTGTAAGCTCTGGTTGACAGCAGGGAATCATAACCTAGTTGACAGCAGGGAATTGTGAAAGTGCTGGTTGACAGCATGCATGTGCATTCCAGGCTGGAAGCAACTGAATGTGCTGATAGGTCACACGAGTAGACAAGAGCAGACCCCAGTCAGCCAGCCAGCCGGCCAGTAGTATCCTTGGCACAGAGGCTGCACGCACACTGGGCAGTGACGCAGAACGTATTCGTATTCCAGCATAGCAATGTAGCAAGAACACGTTCCGTCTGGCGGTGATTTAAATGCAATGATTGGTAGTCATGGTGGCGTTATGACGACGCAGACAACGCAGTTACTAGTACGCTGGGACTAGACGTCGAAGAACCTGTGTGTCGTGTGTAGAAGGCAGGAGCAACTGTAGGCAAGACTGAAGATGTCTCTACTGCTTTCGTCGCTCGTTGATAGTGGCAGCATGAAGCCGGTAAGCTGCGGATGCATGCGGAAAGCGTGTGCGGGAATTGCCGGTAATAAGTCCAGACGGTAGCTGACTAGCAACTAACTTCCACAGTGCATCTTGTTGAAGAACCGTATCGATACTCCCAATAACACTGGCAACTGTGCATCTAGCTAGCTGTTGCAATACAGTCAAAAGTTGTCTGCACTCTCGCATTGTAGCAGCTCACAGCGCTTGCGTCACAGTTTGGAGCTCGGGCTGCCGAATTTGCCGTGGCGTCCAGTACCTTGAACAAACCCGCTGGCATTGTTCCAAGCTTGTCCGTCAATCAGTGCGTCTGCACCATCCAGCGCCTCCTGCCGCAGAGTGTCGGCCAACGGGAGACCGCCGTAGGCTGCTCGGATGGCGGACGTGCGGTCGGCGTTCATGGCATGCGGTGGAAACGAAGCGATACTCGCGGCTATCTCCAGCGCCGTGCTCAGGGCGTCGCCTGGTGGCACAACACGGTTAGCTAGGCCAAACGCCAGCGCCTCTTGTGCACGCACAGGTCTGCCAGTCAGGATCATGTCCAGGGCACGGGACAATCCAATCAGTTTAGGCAAGCGTACAGTTCCTCCGTCAATCAACGGAACACCTGTGGGTGAAGAAACAGCAACAAACCAACACTCGCCAACGCTGGTTTGACAACAGACCGGACTTCATTTGTAGCAGATGATATCGACATGAGCTGTATCGAGTTCCAACAAGAGTAACATTAGATGATCTAAGTCTCCGACAAACTACACACCAGCTGACTCATCATTTCTCATCATCGAGTCCTATATGAATTTCAGATGGTACCTCAACCTCCAGCAGCTAGGGAGCCCATACTCTCCATAATAGGTTTGCTGTTGACGGAACATATTCCAGAGTTCAGAATCCAGTTCCTATTATTCGTCACTTCAAGGCCAAAACGTCTTTGAAAACCGACATGGAGAGAGAGAGAGAGAGAGAGAGAGAGAGAGAGAGAGAGAGAGAGAGCGAGAGAGAGAGAGCGAGAGAGAGCGAGCGAGAGAGAGCGAGAGAGAGAGAGAGAGCGAGAGAGAGCGAGAGAGAGCGAGAGCGAGAGAGAGAGAGAGAGAGAGAGAGAGAGAGAGAGAGAGAGAGAGAGAGAGAGAGAGAGAGAGAGAGAGAGTGAGAGAGAGAGAGAGAGTGAGAGAGAGAGAGAGAGAGAGAGAGAGAGGGAGAGAAGAGAGAGAGAGAGAGAGAGAGAGAGAGAGAGAGAGAGAGAGAGGGAGAGAGGGAGAGAGGGAGAGAGGGAGAGAGAGAGAGAGAGAGAGAGAGAGAGAGAGAGAGAGAGAGAGAGAGAGAGAGAGAGAGTCCAGCTATACCAGTTCTTTCTGAGAAATGAGGCCACCTTATGGCAAGGCGCCATCTCTTATCATCCATGCAGTACATTAGAAGTGTTACCATCCCAGAGGAGGGGAAATGGCACCCAACACAATCATGCACTTGTGGCGTGACACATGATTTTCTCAGCGCGAGGACTAAGGGCTTATTGACAACAGTTCAGATACTGAGGTTTTCAGGAAGGTGGGCTGGTGAGAATCTAAACACCTTGAGCAACTTAGCGCTGGACTAGCCGAGTGTGAATCTTTCGGTGAACAACACTTACACCCACAAAATGTACAGTACAATTGTGATGTGGCACAACGAATTGTGTTCGCCCGTAAAAGAGGCTGTTTTATGATGTGGTATGCCCATAGGCCAAGGCCAGCTACCTAAATCCTCCTGTTGTGTCCATGTGAAAATATTCCTTCAAAAGCGTCAACCTCATTCACACTGCCCTGACCAGTTTGGGTACACCATGCACCAGATTCTGAACCACCCTGTTGCACAACTGACAATCCTGACTCTTGTGTTAGCACGCAAACTTGTGGCTACTCACCAAATCTCCGACAGAATACGCCAAAGGTGGCCGTTTCGTCCGCCACTCTCATATCGGCCACTAGAGACAGCTCCAGCCCACCTGCCACGGCGTACCCACTCACGGCAGCTATCAACGGCTTCGACAGATGATAGCGAGACGGACCCTATCGATAGCCACACATAGTCACATAATCATAGCGGCCGGACCGTTTCAGAGTCACAACACAACACAACACTATGGCTGAGAAGTGCACAAGAATGCTTGCCTGCTTGCAAAGCGATTTGAAATTAGATGAAAACAAAAACAGCAACAACAACCGCAACAGCAAAAGCAACAGTAGTAGTAACAGCAACGGCAACCACAGTGCTTCCCATGGAGTCGTGACATCCACTGTAAGACATGTTATTATAACGAGTCGCAAATTCAACGATTGTCCAAAACTCATAGGTTAACGAGAAGATATGTTTTAACGATCTTGCAGTATTCCGGCATATCCACACACAACATATATGAAGCAGCACGGGCTCAACGGATCTTATTATAACGAAGAAATGTCATCCGTTAAAACGTTAGATCTACTTCCTCGTTATATATACATGTACATGTCTTACAGTACTAGGGAAGACGGCATGGGCCGCGTGTGGTGAACAACGGATGTGGGTTCGGGTAGGAGTCACCTCCTACAAATTTCATATGAAAAAGCCTGAAACTTGTGACTCGGTATAATGATACAAGCCCCGATTGAACCGACTTCTGGCAGTTTTCTAGAGTATGTCATGTATGTTGATTGGTGAATCGTTTCGGTTCTCTCTACTCTCTACTCCTGTAACACGGATGTTTGCGGCGACATCGCGGTTAGCTACACCGGCACCAATGTCCGCATCCTGCTTGCTGCTCTGAATCTGTGACTACTGATTTCTGCGGTATGTACAGTGCATGGACGAGTACGGTGCACTATGTTGTATTCTGAGTGCAATTGTTGTCACAAACAAAAAACGAATCAAATATTCACATGTTGCATGGACGGTGAATCATGTCACTGAGAACGTCCGAAATCTGGGTCAAAACTAACCGGCATCGTTTCGGGCACTCAGTACCATCATCTTGTGTCATCTAACTAGATACAGTCAGACCTCGCTTTTGCACAGCACATATCCGTTTTCCACAAAAATATCTGGATAGGCGAGGGCACCGGATAATCGAACACACATACTGTATGTATGCATGACATATGCTGTAAATCGGTAACCAACAATTTTCTTCCGGATGGCGAGGGATCCGGATAAAAGAGGACCAGATAAGTGAGGTCTGACTGTAATACAACTCTCTAGAATCCCCTTACATAAGTGGATGCAATGATTATGTTATTAATTAAAATTTAATTTTACTTGACCTTGAAAAGCTTACAATTACAACCAATCAAGTCACATGTTTTCAAAATATTTTATGTAATTTCGCCGCGTACACGAGTTTCAAATTTCATTTTTCGAATTTCCCCTTTGCATTGATTGAGCAGTATTGCATTTTCGACTCACCATAGGCCCCAGCCCAGTATCTTCTTCACCAGCAGTCAGAGTTCTGATTAGATCCTCTCCAGCCGATGATCCGGATTCAGCCAGAAACTTCAAGTCGTAGCCAGCACAGAAATTTCCCCCGTTTCCAGTCAGCACCGCCACGCGGAGGCTTTCATCTTGCTCGAACTGCCGAAAGGTTTTCGCCAGCAAGCTGGCTGTGGCCGCATCCACCGCATTTCGCTTCTCCGGGCGATTTAGAGAAATGACGAAGACACTGTCGCCATGCGTCCTGGTCTCAACAGCACTCATTCCTGGAGCTTCGTGACATAGACTCCGACTTTGGCCCAGTGAGTATTTGGAAGAATTGAAGACTTGACTCAAAAAATTGGCTCTCCGTGCGCCACCAAAATACAATTGAGACATAACTACAACTAATACAGTACTTACTTACTGTAGTGTAGTAGATCTGCCTATCAAACACTATCCAGATAAACTACACATGCAGGAAATACCAGGTAATTTTGACGACACGTCTCTCTAGCTCTACGTATTTCATGTCCATATAGTTTGACAGGTAAATAAGAATTATTTTGTTTGAATCAGCACTGCATGCACGTGGTCATGTCATGCTGACCGAGCGACCATAAAAGGTTACTTTGCAATCATGTCCTTCCAAATCGTGTTGTTACTACAACTGCACAAGCAAGATCTAAGCTCCCAGGGAGCTTATTGCTACAACTAGAAGTAGAAGAGATCTTCCTCAATGGCCGGGTTTCAAACTTGACCGCCACGACAATTATTTTATTCATTCCCGCCAGGCTGTATATAATGGCCCGGCACTGGGTCTGCACCTGTGGCGCCGAGACCGTGATTATTGTGCTTTGTGGGAGACTACTCCAGATGATGCGTGAGATTCCAATCAACCCGGTTTACGGGAGATTTTGTATCCTTTCACTCCCTAACGCAGAACTTCCCGGGTATATAAGTACACGTCTGTACAACTTGACTTGATCCGTGTGTGTGTGTGTGACTGTGTGTCTGTGTGTGTGTGACTGTGTGTATGTGTGCATGTGCAAGTAACATATTACTAGTTAAGAGAAGCCCAGTGCTTGCACTAGTGTAGTTATAGTACCCAAATAGCAGCGAAGTAGTCTGAGTGTCAGTATGTGTACAGTCATGTACTTTCCAGTCAATCCAAGCGGACGGAAAACAGATGATACGGCAAAAGAAAAAATATATAGATACTGGTTCTATGTCAGTATAGTATATGATCCTGTTTTTGGCTTCGTGTAGGGTTAGCAAAACAAATAATTTCCACATCGTTACAACCAATCAGCTGGTTTCAACAGATCAAAACGCAAAACGAAACAGAAGAAGAAAACAAGACGCTTGAACGCGAAAGGCGTCGGACAAGACGAAACATATTGCAGCATATTGCTCAACTAGCTACATCCAGCTTGGATTAGTGCATGCATTGTCACTGCATGATGTCAAGACTAGTGCTCCAAAGAGCCAAACTGACTGTGTGAGTGCCACAGGACTCCGGTTAAAACGAATCGTCCAGTTTTAAATATCTGCAGTGCGTGCATGGGGCAAGACAATGCACCCGTATATGTACTAGTAAACCAAGTTCTACAATTCAGTCATTTGTGTACTAAGTCATCAAGATGCTCCTATTCCACCAATTCCACAACCAGCTAGTACTGGTCACGTCAGACATAATAGTATCCAGTATGATAGTGCTCCCTTATCCATGGATATACGTTGAAGTACGCAACCAATCACACTTGTTGACTGCTGACATTGGCATGCTGCGTACCTCTTGCCATGACTAACCAGTTATCTTAGTTAGCTCAGCAGCTCAGCAGATTAGAAGCACGCCAAGGTCAGCAGGTTAGGAGCTCAGTAGGTTAGCAGGTCATCTGCCATATCAGCAGGTGGCTCGAGCTGTCATCGTGAGCAAAGTCATCGTTATCGGCGATCGGTGTGGCCTTGAAGTCCTCAAAACCGTCGCCTCCGGTCACGATTAGCGCCTCCACGTCCGTGTTTGCAACGTATTTGCATACGTCTGTGTTCAGCGCAGCCGCTCGCTCCATGGAGGACACGCTGTGAAGAGGCGTGCTGTGTACTGAACTCGGCGCCGACGCTCCTTGCTCGGACGAGCTCTGCTGGCGCGACATGGTCTCGTGAGAGTTGGTGCGGTCGCGCGCATCACTGCCGCTGTTTGTTGCCCCGGCGACCGGCTGCTTGCTCATTCTCTCGGTGGCCGTGATGAAGCGCACCGGTCCCGTGTGCCCGTTATACGACGCCTGCGGCTGCGGTACATCGCCGATGTCTTTGCCGGTCGTTCTCTTCGTTACGGCGGGCATGTGCTGCAGTGTCAGCACCACACCGGCACTGGTGCCAGTCCAGATCAGACCCCGGTAGCTCTCCAGCGCTGTGATCCGCAAGCAGTTGATCTTATGCTGACGTATGATGGTGTCACACCCTGCAAGCGAGCACCAACGGACACACAAAACAAGACCAACAATAATATTTCGTTTGCGGTGGGAACTGGTATGAGGTCATTTCATCACCATGCATCATCCATGCATGACGACACTGAAAACGTCATACAACTTGCATTGCCACCTGAGCTCACTCCAACTCCTCCACTTCTTGTATCCTACCATAACGCATACTTCGAAGAACTGCACGACTCCCTGGCCCAAAACTAACAAAAAGTGCGGAAACTGAAATCAATTACATCAAAAATTGAACCTCTCCAGTGAACAACCGGCTCCAAATGATGTACAGTAGGGACGCACATAAAGGCCCATGAGCTTATGAGTGAGTTTTTGCGTTATTTGCTATTTTCGCGGGTCGGTTTGTCTCACACATAGGCGCATGCGCTTGAGTTGCTGGTGTACCGGTGCCTTGCATAACTATGAAAATAGTGCGATACCGTAATGCATATTGAACTACGTGAACTTGGTGTTGGACTGCATTTAGGTTCACTTATAAGCCTGTGCGCTAGCTTATTTGTGAGGGTGCGCTTATGCCCGGGTATAGGCACATGTGCTTAAATGCGAGTCACTACGGTATGACCTGATGCAACTAGGTAATCATCATGATCAGGAATGTACATGTACTCCGTATTTCTTCAATCCCAGTGGTCAGAGAATTGCTCACGGATATCAAGGTCCCTGGTTCGAGCCCCGGCGGTACGACTGATGAGCTTTTCTTCCTTTCGCATCTGGCTTGCAAGTGTTGAGTTTCGAAGAGAGAGAAAAAAGACCAGTACGACGAAGGTGGCCTAATTTGAAATTTCCTAATAATGTACTTTGAAATTCCTCGTAAAGTCCCAATTTGAAATCACAGTGCATGCAGATTAACTCACTTAAGGCTGCAGGTCATGGCACCCAGGCTCTGCACTACTTATTTGGCATTGAAAAAGACGTATACATGCATATACGTGCTCAGCGTCTGGACGTCTTTTTCAATGACGTACATGAATATACGTCTTTAGCGCTGAGTGAGTTAAAACAAGATAACATGGCAACCTTACCGGTCAACATCTGCGCAACATTGGCCATCGTGTCTATGTCAAACAGGTGCTCATGATTGCCGGCGTTGTAGCAGTGCAGCAGGCCACCCGTCTCCATAGCAACGTACACGCACAGCCCCAAGTTGGCTATGAAGGAGACCTTGGCGCTGGGATCGCGGCCCACTACGATGGTCCCCTGCACGGTGCACAGATAACGGGCAAGGTGTTTGGAAGAAAGGGCCATGGTCAATATTGAACCCTTCTTTAGATAAGCCACACGCTCTCAACAAAGAATATACAGAGAAAGAAGATACATGTATCAACGTGAAGGTGAGTCCCTGCAGCTCTGCCGACTGAACGCTCTCGCGTCTTGTTTTACGTAACTCTATGGCTCCCACAGGATATTGTCATGCTCAAAGTACTTGATTCAATGACAGTTTAGCCGGGAAGTACCGAAGAAGTAGTCTGGGCAAAGTGTGCTGGAGAGACCAGCAGAACTGCTATTCTGATTCAGCTGTGGATTTTCACTTCGATTGCCGCATTGTCCAACCAAAGTCCATTTTCACCGAAACCAGCTTTGAAGTGTGGCTGGATGACAAGAGTACCGGTAATGCAAGTACAGTGAAACCTGTCTAAGACGACCGCTCAAGGGACCTTCAGAATGCGGTCTCTGCTACCAGGTGGTGTCTCCTTATCCAGGGTCATTTGATTGGAAGTAGCATCCCTTGGTCCTGGTTTCAGTGGTCTTCTTGAACAGGTGGTCACCTTATCCGAGTGGTCGCTGCCTTGACAGGTTTTACCAAGAGTAGCATACATGTACTATCATTAACTGTCCGTACCTTGACAAAGGCCGAGTCTTTTCCGATGATCAGAATTCGATCTCTACAGGCGCACCAGAGATCCGTGTCGACTACGATCATAGACGTGACGACCGACCCAGGCAAGTTAGTAACGATCTCCTCCGGGTCGCGAGTGTCCCAGTTGCCACCTGAGCGTGCACAGACAGGGCCGAAGAAGGATACAAAATTACGATAGGCACTTGGATGAATAGACTTTTGATGATGTCCTGCACTGCTAACAGGATGATGTGCCACAAGTTTACGGCCATGTCTTCAGCACTATATAATCAAGGCAGGATCTGAAATTGAAAATGTTCCAATATGTGAGCGCTTCGGTTAGAAACGGGCGACACAAACATGTCCACAATGCTGAGGTGCACTTCACGCGCACACCGTGGATGATCACCACTAGCGGAAGCCTACACTTTTCTATAGAATTCAGTTGTCACGATAGGACTAGTTGCTGGCCTCAGCAACAAGTCTCGCAACACAGAGTCCACTGTTCATCTAGTGGTAAGTGAGAAACTATCAAACTATCAGACCCAAACATAACACCATGAGCTGAAGTGCATCTAGAGGTTACGTGCAGTAGTCCAATCACCTGGAGTCCGTGTGAACACAATCAGGTGGCCGTCCTTCAGAGACGCATACACGCTGTTACCAGTGTGGCTGTGCAGAAAAGCAGAGTCAAAACAGAATGCCGAAACCCACTTGTCATCACAAAACACGACAATGTGCTGCGTGCCACCGACCTCTGGTTGTCGCCATAGATCAGCAATGCAATGCATTAAAGTACTCTCCACATACATTCCTGTACATAACTGAATGCTGCATGGAACGTGACAGACTGGATCTGCACAGGTTCAAGTTTGCAATTTCGTAAAAGGAGGACAGCTCTTACCACAGCTTCACAACGCCAAACTTGAGACGCAGGACAGTGCGACGCTGTCGCATTCGAATAGAATCTCCAGCTCGGTAGATGTAGAGACTATCATACAACAGATCACAGCAACACACAGCAACACACAGAAGCACACGTCAAGCAAGCACGAAAGCATCATACTCGGATCAGATTCCAAAGAGTGTATGTACATGCATCAGTGAGTCTTTGGTAGGCTAATATTTCTTGTTTGCAAAGTCATCTTTCTATAAGCGGCATGAGAAGCTGTCAACCTACAAACCAGCAGTGCAGACCCAGGAAATATCCACTCACAGTCCATTGTCTGTTCCCAGCCACATGGTGGGGTCATGATCCATGTGCCTCTTGCCATCATTGGCCAAGTTGTTGGTCTGCTGACTGATGATGAGATGCGCAGCGGAGATCTTCTGACGCTGAGTGACTGATACGAGAGTGGTGGAGTGGCTGAATGATCGACCGACACGCCTGGTGCGACTCTCTGTCAGCGACTGACTCCGGGCCGTGGGGACGCGAGCCTTTTCCACGGCCGCATGCCTAGCAGCAGTGCTGTATGAGAGAGAGAGAGAGAGAGAGAGAGAGAGAGAGAGAGAGAGAGAGAGAGAGAGAGAGAGAGAGAGAGAGAGAGAGAGAGAGAGAGAGAGAGAGAGAGAGAGAGAGAGAGAAGAGAGAGAAGAGAGAGAAGAGAGAAGAGAGAGGAGATAATAAGCACTATTCAATTTCTCCTTAAAGCAAGCATTCTAGCAGGTCTTGCCCTGAGAAAATCCACTAGCACACAAAGCGTAGAAACTAAAAAGCTTCCCAAAATTGGAACTGCTCATGAGGAGACCTCTTCAAGAATAGATTAGCGCAAGTATTACAACAAACTTGACTTTCTTTCAACACCTGTCTTCTGCTGAATACCTGATTGGTTTCCTAGAATTAGCTGGATGAGAAGGCATAGCAAGTCTATGACAGCAAAGGCTCTTTTTTACCCTCTAAGTGCCACGGTTGACGAAAAGAGCACCTGGCGTATCACCTATCCAGTGCCACGGCTGCCGAAATGAGCCCTGTGTACTTCTAGTTCACAGTGCCACGGGCGACGTAGAGAGTAGAGAGTCCGACACACTTCTGTGTGGGAGTGCCAAGGCTCTATGAAGAGCCCGACGGAGGGGTATTTTTGGGCGTGTCCTACAGTGCCAGAGGTCTGTAGCTCCGTCCCACGCTTTTGATCTGGCGTTATCCGTGGGTGGAGGTATCTAGTTCGATAGAAAAAACCGGGTGTTCGTATCTATAAAAAGCGAGAAACGCTCGTTCAAAACTCAAACACTTTCGAGTGACAATGGCGACTCAAGGCGCAGCGCGAGAGGCAGAGATGACACAGGAGGAAGTTGACGGTGAAATCCACCGAATCTTTGACGGTGAGTCTGACGAGTTTGAGTTCGAAGGCTTCGATGTCGGCAGCGGCAGTAGCGAAGATGACGATAGCGACCTTGAAGGAAGCGACGAAGACGACAAAGAACAACCGCGAGTGTGGAACTGGCGGACCGTCACGGCTGACAACGACATCGCAGACGTGCGTGCATGGCTGCCGGGAGAAACTCGCCAACGTGGGCCAACGGCACAGGCCGATGAAAACATCTCGTCGTTAGACTGTTTCGCTATGATGTTCACGAATGAAGCCGTGGACATAGCTGTCACGCAAACAAATCTCTATGCGCTGCGAAAACTGGAAGCTCTCGACGCTCACTTTCCAAGCTCCCGGATGCGCAAGTGGCATGACATCTCGTCACGCGAGATGAAAGTGTTCTTCGTACACTTGCTCGCAAGGAGCATAGTGGAGCAACCAGTGCTGGCAGACCATTGGACAACGGACTGGCTCTACCAGACACCCGACTTTGCCAAGTTCATGTCCAGGATTTGTTTCCAACTGATCCTGTCGTGCCTTCATTTCGTGGATAACACAACCATCGAGTATGACCAGCGCGGCAGGTATCGAGACCCTCTCGCCATGATTCGTAAATTCCTGGACATAATCGTCAAGCGCTTCAGACTGTCCTACTACCCTAAGAGGGATGTGTCTGCGGACGAGCAGATGATTGCGTACAAGGGTCGCCTATCCTTCAAGTAATATATGCCGGCCAAACCAACTAAGTGGGGCGTGAAAGGATTCGTCCTTGCGCAGCCCGGTACGGGGTGCATATACGAGTGGACTTTGTACGCCGGCAAAGATATGGCCGAGGGCCGAGACATAGCCATGGCCGACACATCGAAGGGCAGTCAGATAGTGGCGAAATTGGTTCGACACCTCGGCCAAGGGCACGTAGTGTACATGGACAATTATTACTCGTCACCTCCCTTATTTCAGTGGCTGTCGTCGCGCCGTGGAATGGGAGCTTTCGGCACAGTGAGAGTCAATCCGAAAGGGCTTCCACCAGCATATAAGGACAAGAAAAAGAAGGGCACGCCGCCAAGATTCTGGAGAGATGAAACAGTTCTAACATGCTCCTGGCCGGACAAGAAGCAAGTGACAGTTCTCTCCACGATTCACTCTTGTGAAGTTGTCGATGTAGATATTCGCGACCGGAGTGCGCCTCAAGGAGTTCAGTCCCTGAAAAAGCCATCATGCATCGCCAGCTACAACAGTTTGATTTTTCGGCGTGGACGAGGCGGATCAGATGCTCAGCTACTACGCATTCCCGCATCGTCACCGCCGTTGGTACCTGATCCTTTTCCATCAGCTGCTGGAAATTTCGGTGCACAACGCGAAAATAATCTACAACGCAATGACTGGCAAAGACCTTGACGGAAAGGAATGCCACAAGGCGCTCATCGCTTCTCTGTTCACTGAAACACAGTGGCCGATTGGTGAACCACGTTGCAGATGTGCACAAGCAACTACAGACGATGTGGACACAGCTCGGCTAACTGAGCGACACTTCTGTACGCAGCTAGCTGTTGAAGGGAAGCGAGACTGTGCTGTGTGCAGCAGACGACCGGACCACCGGAAAACTAGCTGGCAGTGCGTGCGGTGCGTACGCATGATGTGCTCCGGGGAATGCTTCCAGCGCTTTCACACGCTGCACGACTACAGAGTACGATACGCGGACTAGTGCATAACCTTTCACTACTGCTGTGAAATTTAGCAACTATCTCCACACCACAAGCAGTGTTTGCTACGTTGTACCGCTGTTGCAAACTAAGTTTGTACGTGTGCATTTCCTTCTTGCTGACTTATTTTCACTTTGACACAGCTGCCTTGATTCATGGGCATTAATATTTTTCTGCATGGTGAGCTCTGAAACATGTTGCTGATGATATTCTGAACATATCATGTATACATTATCTTAGAGTAGTAGCAATATATCACCATCATTTGCCGTCCTGAAGTTTATAACTGTAAAATAGCACAATTCCAAAAACCTGCGTGGCACTGAGGGAAGGGTGAGAACCAGCTGACCATGGCATTCAGAAAGTACTCCTGCTCATCTGATCATGGCACTTTACAAGAAAATCTTGTCAATCACTTATGGCACTCAACGGATTAGGGACCGTCCCAGGTCACCAATTGTTTCAAGTTTCAAAACGATTTTTGTTTGTTTGGGGTGGGTGGGTTCCAGGAGTTTTGTTTTGAAAAAAAATATTGAATTCACACCATGCATGGAGAATCCACAGCATGCATGGAGAATGCACACCATGCACACCATGCATAGAGAATGCCCAGGTACTGCTGGGTGCCGGATACGACATCAACGATTTTGTTGAAATTTCGGTTTTACCTTCAGAAAGGGTGGGTGGGTGGGCAGGGGCTGAAAATAATAAATCTTTCCGTTTTGAAAAACAAAAACAAATCAAAAACAACCGGTAAACCCAGATGGCCACTTAGACAGCGGAGAGAAGAAAGTTATCTTTTTCCTCTAAATATACAGTAAAGAAAAGTACCAAGGAACTACATGTTACGATATAATGTCCACTAACACGACCAGTTACTTGACACTGATGATCAGCTTATGCGATAACCTTGCATAAAACTAACTGACAGTACTGACGTTCTACAACTAACTGGCTATCAGCTCTAGCACGTCTTGGGTGCGCACTCCAACAGCCTTCCAATTTGAAACTGGTCAAGTAACTGGTGGTGTTAGTGGACATTATAATTATCGTAACTTGTAGTTCCTTGGCCCTTTTCTTTACTATAAATTGATCATTGGCTCTCCATCCGAGCCTTTCCTCTGAATATTTTTGTTTTCAAGTACAAGAAATTGGCCATTACCCGTACTCAATGTGAGCAGAGAAGCCACAGGACATGAAGCTGCTGAGAACAGTAATGTTACTCACTTGCTCCGTGAGCTGACATCGCTACCACTACGCGACACACCACCCACACTGCTTGCCGACCCCTCGTCGCCGGCGATAATTCCCGAGTCCACAAAGTCGCCTGTCTGGCCGACAGCTGGACGTGGCTTGGTTGGACTGAGCGTTGTCTGCAGAACAATGCACAACAGACAACACATAGTGTCTAACCTTTGTAAGCAGCTAGATGAAAGTGTACTGTACATGTGCACCTTATTCTAACCTCATACAGTATATACACCACTCTTGTCAAACATAAGCTCCCATCAGTCCTCGAGCACCTAGCTCGTCAAGGCACCTTGCAGGCAGGTCATGGCAGAGATTATTCACGAGGGGATTGCCTGGTCCTGCTGCTTGGCAGTACCATGTACTTAGGTTGACAAAGATATTCCCAGCTCCAGGGGGGGGGACTCTTCAGTCTGCCGATTCCTTCCCAGCAACAGTTCAAGGCTCTTAAGGTGCATTCACACGCACCTGTTACTGGCGCATTCTCGCCTGGAAATGTAGTGTTCACGTCTACTTACGCGCTGTGGCATTCCTTGGCCACTCCAGTCATTCATGATGCATGTACTAGTAGTGCATCGTGATATGTTATGCATGCAGCATGTGCCGTTTCCCACTCGCGCGTGAAACGGACTTCGCGGCTTTTAGTTCCTGTGCATGAGTTGAGTCTGGGCTCTGGTTGTTTTGGACTGGAGAAATAAAGAATACTACATTGGCACTGAGAGCTATTTCGTTCCTCCGCGGCAAGCATGGGTGACCGACCACCCGCCATTCCGCCCCCTGGACCTTTTCCAATTTATGTCCCCCTCTACGATGCCGCCACACGCTGGCCCGCCTGAACACGGAGTTTCAAACTTTAGCTTGCTGCGTCCAAAATTGGCGATGACGGACAACAGCGTGGGCTACTCCAGTACCTGGGCGGAGAAGACATCCAGCAACTCGTGCCCACTCTCAGCAACACAGGGGCAACATTCGACGACCTTGCCAAAGCCCTGCAGGACGAGTTCAATACGCACCAAAACAAAACGCTCCTCCGCTACAATTTCTGTCAGCTTCGTGAACAGTCGAACGAGACTATGGAGGGTTTCTGTTGTCGTTTGGGCGACCATGCACGTGAAACGCAGTGGCTTCCCGGATACTGCCGCGGAGAAATTGGCTGTCTTGGATCATCGGCTGCAAGTCTGACGCCCTTCGGCGAAAATTGCTGGAAATCGATGGCCTCGACTCTGACAAAGCTCTCAAAGCAGCCCGCGCGTATGAAGCCAGCATCACCCATTTTCTCGTCATCAAGGACGCCTCTCTGGGCTCTTCACAGCAGGACGCCCACGTTGCTTTCCTGGCGTCAGCAGCACCCCAGCCTGCCCATGTGGATGCCTTCTCAGGGTCACAGCGCCACGGCTACCCAGCTGCACGTCAGGCCCAAGCCCAGCAGTGTCCACCGTGGTCATCACCCATCCAGTCACAGGCCAGCGGGTCTCTAGGCATGTGTCATTT